CACTATTTTCTGTCTGCTTTTGTTTTTAGGATAGTGTTTTGCCCCCCATTTTTTTGTTGTTGAATACCTTTTCTGTGTTATTAATAGCCTTCAAGGCGACTACTTTCTGTGGTACACAAAACTTAATTTTTTAAATTCTGCATAGATCTTGTATCTCTTCAGTTACTTTTTTCGTCTTGCAGTCTTTTAACATTTATGGCAGCTATTTATGCGTCTTATTACTTCTTGTTGGTTTCTGTTTTGATAGGTTGTTACTGTGTTCCTTAATTGTCGGTGAAGGATAAAAGTGCTCTATACATTCAGGTACAGAATTTGGAGCCCAAACCATATCTGTAATTCTTAATAGCTGCTTATATGCAAGCTTAACTTTTCTGTAATGGTTTGCACTCCAGTGCTGCAAATTCAAATTTCTGTGAAGTGTATGTGGTTAGTTTTTGTAGATTTTTTGAATTATACCTTACTGAAGCTGAGGCGGCTTGTTTTTTTTGTTACACGAAGCAGAAAATACAATTTCTAATGTGCAATTAGTGAATGAAAAGTAATTTGTTTGACAGTCGATGTGACACATAAGCTAAATCTGGTAAAGTGAAATCAGTGAAGCTGAGTGATCAAATAGTCTTAAAGTGAAAAACTTTTTTGAAGTGGGCTTGCAGAGCCGTTTATTGTGTGAATCTGCCTGCTACAAATTCATTTCCTCTAAGAACTTTGAAAAAATGGGTCTAGAAAAAATTAGCTGGAAAAATTTTGATGAGGAGTATTACCCTTGCAGAAAGCTAAACATTTCGGGCTCAAATTCAATATAGTTTTAGTTTATTTATTTGAAATGAAGGGCCTATCTGTGGGTGGTTAGAAGGTTTATTAACTTGCGGTTTAGAGGAAGTGAGCGGTAGAGTGATAGCTAGAAGCCTTTATTTGTATTTTGCAAAATGTTTTTTAAGTTTTTTGATACGCCTTGAGCAGAAGAGTAAACTTCTATGTGTTCCGATATACAAGGTATAAAAGCACTGTCTGACAAGTCACATTACTGGCGAAGTATGCAGGAAAATAGGTTGGGCAATAAATGTTTCTCTGCAGAAGTCTGTTGATAAATGTGAAATTCAGAACGAAACTAGGTGCCAAATTTTATTTCATGCTGTAACGGTCTCACTGTTTAGTGGATTTTTTATTCACAAATTCTTAGTAAAATCTGGGTTGAGAAGATACAGATTAATTGTTTGGGTCAAATGAACAAATATACTGAATATACTATGAAAAGGGGATGATTAAAATTCATTTTCTATTAAAAGTGCTGTTCAATTGCTTTATGTATATTGTTACATTTTTTGAAGCCATATTTTTTCCATTTTTCTTCAAATTGATATTTTAAAACATTTTTTATTTTATTTTTGATCTACGTCTTTCTCTGCTTTTTGCAAGAAAAGTTTAATGGAAAATATTTTAGAATTATTCACCTGTTAAAAATGGATCCATGTCAAACAAAAATAGCTGAGAAGCTTATCATATTAAACGATCGGGCAATTGGTATGCTCACTCGACTTTATAATATTAAAAGAGCGTGCTGTGATCCGAAGTCTAAGCCGCAGCTTCTCAATGAAAAATCGCTGGAGGGATGTCTAAAACATATCACACGGAAATTCCCAATTATTGATACGAGATCCAATCCTGTAAGTCCATTTTTTTAATTATATGAGGAATTCTTTATGGATTGGGATATTTAAAAAAAAAAAAAACCCATTTTCTTTTTTTTGTGCTGGATATTTTTCTTATCTGTACAGTACTGTAAAGGTCTCTGAATTAATGGCAAATTATTTTTGAAAAAGATTACTTTGTTGTTTTTTAGCATTCTGTTTCCAGCACCGCAGTAATTCTTATTTCATACGCCTTCATATTTTAGAGTACTTTTAGTCAGGCAAATGCACTGAAACAAGAAATCATAAAGTCGCTTTCCCTTTATTACTATACGTTTGCGGATCTTTTGGATTTGAAAGATCATATTATGCAGTTATTGACAGCAATGGATGCCTGTCAATATAAACTTGATATTGTAAGTAAAGGAGTGAAGAGACTTTGTTAATCACAAGCATTAATCCTTTTCGTTTCAAATGTATCTATTCTCTGCTCGTTTTAAATGTTTTTACATCTATAGTACTCAACTTTAGACGCTTAATTACGACCTAACAGCTGGGTACATGAACCTGGTTGTAAATCTAATATGTATGATGATATTGGTTTCTCGAGTGGATGATCGGAGGGCTGTATTAGGGCTGTATAATGCGGCTTTTGAATTAAGTAACGGCCAGAACGAATCCACGTTCCCTCGTTTAGGACAGATGATCTTAGATTATGAAAACCCATTGAAAAAATTGTCTGAAGATTTGGGTCCGTTAAACAGGGTTTGTTAAAAAGATGATATCTTTATACTTCATTATATAAACTAATAAATCTTTTTTTATTGGATAGGTATCCTCTTTTTTGGAAAGTTCACTATAAATAATTTTTTCCATAACATAACCCATCTTTGATAACCTTAGTTGATACATTCTGCTTTGACTTCACTGGCATCAGTGTATGTTAGACGCAACATAACTGCTGAAGCTTGGCGTAACGCGCAAATGCTTTCTCTGGTGGCTTCACCTCAGCAAATTCTTTACGCAGCGCAAACTGATACAGTAAGTAAATAAATATGAATTTTTTCAATTTCTTATTTCTTTAATAATTTTTTGATTTAAAACTTGGTTATAATTTTGAAGATTGCTTGTGAGTACCTTTCACTGGATGTGATGGATCGTTGGATTATTCGTAAGTTTTTGAAATTCTGTTGTCAAGGTTTATCACTGAAATTCTGTTTACATTCCTCTATTTCTTACTGTTGTTCCTCCCAGTTTTAGCACTGTCATTGTTATCAATAATTCTTAATTATTATTTTTGTTTTTATTTTTATCAAAATTTTATATAGTTATAATCTTTCAACTCTTTTTAATTTTTTGATTAATAGATAACGGTTTTTTCAATTTTATTTAATGGAAACAAAATTCCGTTGCTTTTTTAGTTGGTGTTACGGTATGCCATAGTAATTTACTTCAAGACAGTGTCATTGCTAATTTATGGCAACGGGCGTTGCAAACTGGTCTTGCAATCCGCTTGTTTAGGTACCTTAAAAAGATGATTTACCATAATTTGAAAGTTAAAATACTGTTTAGTGAATAATTTAAACTTCATTTGGGTTTTAGGGATGAAATTTTAATTGTGCATCAAACCGTCCAAGCTTTTTTTGACTCAATCAAAGGCTACAGTCGGAAAATTCAGGAAGTGAAGGATCATTATTCCATGGCACTTCAAACTTGGTATAGGCGGTTTAGTTTTCTTAAATTTTTTTTAAATCACTTTTCTCACCATTGTCTTTCATTCTTGGTTTGCAGTTCAACTGCGTATATATATATATATATATATATATATATATA